TCTTTTAATCTATAACTATCTGTACTCTGTCTCTTTAAAGACTTTACCCTTTTTCTTTAAGGCATTAACTTTATTCTCTATATTCTTTTTCTTCTCTCTCCCAAGCCTACGTACACTCATCCAACACTGTGACCCATATAGAGGTCTTTTATGTCTGAATCTGTCCTATTGTGAATCCGTAATTTTTTACTATGCAGAAGAATTTTTGTTTTGCAGTTTTAAATCACTAAGCATTTAAAAATCTAAGCTGTAACGTTCTTGGTCAAAAACAGGTACTGCCTGTTTGCCCCACCCAGCCCAACATGGCAGAGCCGCTGGTGCCTCTGAGCCTTGTGCATTGCACTGCTAGCATGGCGGAGCTGCTTGTGCCTCTGGGCCACGGCACACAATGACCCCCTTTGAGGCACACAGCGAGTCTAGTTGCCATCAAACAAATCATAGCACTTTACTCCAAAGGGTCCATTCAAAAGCTCTGTCTCCTGCAGGAGCCAGACAGAGATTGCAGTGGCGGCACAGCCCAGAAACTGGTATTTCAAAACCGCCACTTTCTAGTAAAGGAAAGCCGAGGAAGCTGTGTTTTAAAATAACACGGCTTTTTTTCTGCCAGTATTGCTGAATCAGGAAATCTCTCTACGGCACGTCCTAGCAAACAGCAAAAAGGTATGTTAAACTATCTTTCCCTTATTTGTAAGCCCTCTCAGGTTTTTAAGTGGATTTAATTACCACGTTGGGTGCCACTTGTAGTGTGGAGCTGCGGGCAGGCCTGTTTTTTGTCCCACCCGGCTCCCACATAGCTAGCTTAGCCCTGGAAATAACAACATACAAATTGTATTCATTTAAACACTGCCTGGCCCATTGTCTCTAGAGACTTAGTTACTGGCTAACTCTCACATCTTGATTAACCCACCCCCAAAAAGAATGCCTTTTGCTCTGTCATTGTTGACATTTTTCTTACAGGACAAATGTGAATAAACCCAGGATTTCTTGGGGCAGGTGCCAGGGAGTAGCCCATTGGCAGCTAGAGTCTCTGGCCTACCAGGAAACAAGTCCTGGCCAAATCACTCCTCTTGTTGTACCATCACCTTGTAAAGGAAATTTACCCAACCCAACGAGAAATCCAACCAGCCTTCAGAGACTCTTCAGCTGTCCATCGGGAACCCTGCTAATTCTCGGGGAATTCAGTCTGGAAATAAATGGGCCACCTTGTATGTAGGACGTTGTGGTGTGATTCTACACAAACTTCCATGTGCAGGCGGCAGTGAAGGTCTTACCCCATGAGAATTTTTGAGCAGTGTTGCAGAAGCAGAAAATGAAGGCACTTTTTTTTTTTAAATCTCTATGCTGCAACGTGTTTTGGTTTTTTGGTTTCTGGCTTTTTCTTTTTTTGGCAATTGCTGATCACAGAGGCAGAAGAACCTGGTTACACGGCCTTTAACAAGACTTGGGCAGTTCTCAAGGCCATTTCTTCAAGGCAGTTTGTCAAATGTTTGCTCTCTTCTAATGAGAGGAGGGGCCTCTGATGAGCAAGTTTAAAAGCACAGCTTCAACACACCTACTCCTCCTAAGTCAGAGCTGTAAGCATTTCTTACCGCTCTCTGTGCTGTCTAGGAGGAACAGCACTGGATGGGTTTACAGCTATTTTCTAGTGACCGTGAGGCAGGGGCATTCAGTTAGTTATTTCTATGTAGCTTCCTAAGCAGGCTTATTAGTGAATCCCTTTTAGTCATATTTAATTAATGCTACAGCTTGTTATTTCTCTCTTCCCATCCAATCTCACAGGAGTCATGTGGCTGGAACTCCTCCTGGCCTCAGCGCTGGGCCTTGTCATCTACTGGTTCGTCTCCCAGGACAAGGAGGAAGCCTTACCACTCGGAGATGGCTGGTGGGGCCCAGGGTCAAAGCCCACA